TAGAAAATAATAAGTATAATAAATACCTTTTTGGGCCCATAATAGTGCCTTTTTGCAGCTGAAGCTCATCCTTTAGGTTTTTTATCATTTTGGTGTCAGCATCAGTCAACTGGATATACCTTATGATAGTAAAATGAAGGGTCCTGGATGAATCTGTCAGTTAAGGCATTTCTGTCTTTGCATCAGTCCATACCAAGGGTTAAATTTGGAAGTTCAGGGCTGGAGCCCCCTAGTGGTGATATTCTCAAAAGGGTCCAGCTGCAAACCTCACCTGTGAGTAAGCCACCTCTGTCAGTAAATCTTGTCTGAGGGTAAAGAAATGATGCAAATGACACGCACAGAAGACGAAGAGACGTTGAATTGTTTCAGCATCTTCATTTTGGAGTTAAAATGGGTTTATGTCTAAGGCCTGTATTAGTTCAGCTTTTATGAATACAGTGTTAAAGTGAACAAAGCAGTAGGGGGACTTCCACAGTTTTATTTAGAGACGCAGATTAAATCCCCCACAGAGCAATGTATGTCCAATGATATTGGTCTTCTGTCTATTACATTTTATCCATCACTGTCTAATACTAAGTTTTCTTTGCATTTATCTATGCATAATATAGCGTGAATAAGAAATTAATCACTTTGTTTCCATTGTCTAAGATAAATGTATTTATAGAGTATTTGTGTGTTGAAATGTTTTGATATGATTGCTGATCGTGATGACAGATTTTTTTTGTCTTACATTTAAATAGATGCACAACTCAGTTTGGAAGGCAGGATCTCTGCCAGAACTGAAACTTTGAGACCCGTTGCAAAAATATCCATTGCCCCCTTTTTCCACCAACACTATTCAAACCTGCACCTCTGTTCACAGTGCTAGTGATGAAGCATGTGCAGTTAGTGACAATTAATAGAAATGATAATGCTGACACCAAGAATATTATAATTCACCCATTTATACACGTTTTAATTAATAAGTATTCATTAAACCTTTCACCGGTATACCTACAGCAGCTGGTACAATTGCATTTAGAAAAAAATGCCTGCAATATGCTTGCATGTTAAGTACTACATGTTAAAACATTTATGTATTAAAAAGATCCATTCATAGGTCTAATTTAACGGGGCTGTTTTTCCATACATTTCGTACACTGATTATTTGTCATGTTTAGTAAACATTTTTTTTATTATTATTTTAAAAAGACCATAACTGACAAAAATGTTTTTAAGCAAGTGTTTGTTTGTTTTTTAACAGTGTGCATAGATGGTGATTAATGAAGTCCTTCACTGATGAAACTTTTTTTTTTTTTTCTCGACGAGTAGTAACATACATAACGTTAGCCGGGAGAAGATTCTTTTAAATCATCATATGCAATGGTATTTAAGTCCTTAGTCTTAGGGGAAACTTTTACATCAGAATGCAAAGTCCATAATTCCATGAGATTTACTGACAGGAGGCTTACTCACAGGTGAGGTCTGCAGTCAGATCCTTCTTGATATTCTGCTGAGGGGGAGGAAAGAACTAAACAGTTATTGCTGCCTCAAGTATTTGTCATATGGGCTGGTGTTGATCTCTCTGGTTTCTGAAATTACTTGTAAGGGGTTGCGTCAAATTTACCGTATGGGGCCTGGTTGTAGTGGCTCTGAGGCAGGTGGCAGTGTTGTGATTCACAGTATTGCAGGTGACCTGTTTCCTGGCAGGCATTGAGTCATTGTAGGCAGGCAGGCTTCATAAAGAACAGGAAATTGATAGATTTGTGTGAAGATCAAATGCATTTTTAATGGAGCAGTTTCAGTGACTGATGTGTTGAAGAAACTGCAGCGGCTCTGCATGCACATTATTTCTGTTAAAGATTATATGCTTGGTGAAAGATCTGCATTGACATTCCAGGGTCTTCTTATTTGAATGGTGATGCCATCCCTTTAGTAATGAAGCCCTAACTGCTCTTTTGCTCTCCTGGCCAGCAGCTCACGGTTTGTGCTCATACAGGTTTTGGAGTTGGCTGGGAATGCCTCCAAGGACCTCAAGGTGAAGCGTATTACTCCCCGTCACTTGCAGCTGGCCATCCGTGGGGATGAGGAGTTGGACTCTCTCATCAAGGCCACCATTGCTGGAGGAGGTAGGTTGCCAATAGCCAGGCTTATAGTGTGATTCATCTGGCTTGTCAAGAAGAAGATAAATGTCGGCGCTTTGGCCCCATGCCCCCATTCTCGTGTTTTTCTTTCCCTGCAGGTGTGATTCCACACATCCATAAGTCGTTGATTGGGAAGAAGGGTCAGCAGAAGACGGCATAGAAAAGAGTGAAGCCCCTGAGTTTGTCTGGCTCTCATTTCAGCTGGGACGTGGCAGGTGGCGAGAACAGGCCAGACCGGGAGTTCAGATGCTTTCGCTTTCTATTTTTATTTTATTATTATTTTTTGTAATTGTAGTAAAAGGTGAAAGTGTTAGAGTTTAAGTTGTATTATTTCGGAGAGAGAAAAAAACGCCAAAAAGGAGAATTTGTATGTTTTAGTTTGTTTGACAGAAGGTGAAAAATTGATTGGCCTAAAACTTCAAAAATGTTTTATACTGAAATTAAATTCTTAAACCATGTTTTACAAAACAGTATTTCTGGGTTGTTTTCTTATTGATCTGCATCATAGGAGGAATGCTGCCTCAGTCAATAGCACTGTAGCGTCAAATCCTGCCTCTGATTCGGTGTCCATGGGTTGTACGTGTTCCTTCTGCAGTGCCACAGCATGCAGTTTAGTGAAATGGTGACACTAAATTTTCCAAAGCGTTTGTGTCCTGAGATCCAGAGTGGCCCCTGTCACTTCTGGGATGTGCTCCAGGCTCAGCAAAACCCTGTACTGGATCAGCTGTTATGGGTGGTGTGTATTATAGAAAACAGTAAAATATCACCAGCTGTTTCAGAAACAGAGCTGCTCCCTCTAATTGCAGAGGCATTACTTTTATATTTGTGGTGTGTTAAGAGCTGAAGAAGTAGAATGTGCAGGTAGTGGATTTCTGCGACTCTTCCACCCCAGGAATGAATATAGATAAACGGCTGCAGAATCAGAATGATGGCCTCTATCGCGTGTGGCTGCATGCGGTACAATCTCCCTTGTCCCTTGTCCTAAGGTTGGAAGCACATTAAGGAAAACGGTAAGTTCCTTTGAAATGTGTTGACAAAATATCACCTTAACCATAAGTATGCAGTGTGGCTACATGAGTCGCTAAGGATAAAGTGGTCCGAGGTGAGTAATTTGGTTGTCAGCTAAAACAATGCGGTTGATCTGAATTGATTAGGCAATTCTTTGGTGGGGGGAATTGGTTGGGCACAGCAGTGGTTAATACTATGTGAAGAATTGTTTCCTTCTGCTATCTTATTAATTGTTTTTATGATGATAATGAACAGAAAGTCACCAATGCAGATATTTCAGCAAGAAATGTGTAATCCGCCTCATTAGTTTACTGCCTGTCCTAGTGCTATCAGATTCTGTGGGTGTTGCTAGATGTGATCTTGCTGAGAGCAAATGTTCTCCCATCTGTGTTGCTTATACTGGGAAGAATTGCAGTGCTGGGCTCCGGTTCATTAGCAAAGGTGCGCGTTTAACGGGATGCGCATACTGCATGTAATGTATGGCATGAGAACTTTATTACAGATTTTTTTTAAATAATTTTTATTAACAATGATGCGTGGAATCCAGTTGTAATGCCTATTAAGCACTGAGTGACTCAACTGTCCCACAAGTTACCAGCCCAAAATCATTTGTCGGACTTACCAGTGAACGTACTCTGTCACATGTCATATTTAGCTGGACCAGCTTGAAGTAGCGGCGTAGGAACCGCTTGCAAAACGGTTTAGGAATGTGCAATATGTAAATATATTTCTGGATATATATTTAGTATTTACTGGTATACGTCAGGATTTTTATTGATGCAAGGTCATGTATTGTGTAGTTTTCATTAACGAACTAGGGAAAATTTGGTTAATGCTCTTTCGCGTTTAATGAAATAAAGAACAAGTTCGATTTTGCGCGAAAAGGGCTACACCATACAGATTATGCTGGTCAACTTTAAAAAACCAATGTAGTTAGAAATGCAAAAGAAGAGTAACTGTAATAAATTAATATTTCTGGGGTTGATGTCAGTTACGTTAAGCTTGGCAATATAAAAATCTTTTCGTTAAATTTTAGTTGATGTAGCTGGTCAGGAAAAGAGTGTCTGCTGAATTCTGGTTAAATGCATTCCTCCCGATATAAATCGATATCGGATTTAAACATCTATTTAATGGGTCCTATAAATGTCGACTTTAGTTTTAATGTCATTTTTCGAGGGTAACCTCTATCTTTCAGATTATCTAAATGTAAATTAATCGGAATGCTTTATCTTACAAGGCCGCCATTTTGTAAGGAATGCGGCGTCAAGCGTTAAGCATCTTTTTCCCACTGAAACAAAGGCTGATTATAATGCTCCCTGAAAGTGTCCGTTATTTCGTAACCAAATACTTCCTAATTACACGTTTTATCAGCATTTCAAAAGGTAGCAAATATCCCAGTTAAAAAAAGCAATCAAGTTACTATAATGTTCAATTCAGAACAAGCCTGGATCTGACAGGTAGCCAATATTAAAGCAATGAATGCACTTCACGCGCACCCGGATATTGATTTCTCGTCGTTTCGAATACTATCCGCATTCTGTATGCTTGGTATATTTAGTAAAGTTGATAGTGCGATGTGTTTCATTATGCGCACCTCTTTACTAAAGACGAACATGGTGTAATTAAACTAACAAATTTGCGTTTATTCCGATCGACATATTTTCATGGAAAAAGTCCAGGCGGCTAGAAAAACAGGGTAACCAGCTGTCATGCAACTGGCGTGACACAATGCAGTTTTATTTTAATTTTGGTATACGCTACTTAAAAGGCAGTGAAATTTCTTATAGAGGGAAAAAACACACTGTGTGTAGGATGTTGCATCACGCTGCCATTATAACCTCCTTTCACAAAAACTCACGAATCACAAGAAAAATGTATATTTTTTTATTGTAAGCAAATGTTTACTTCCGTGCACAGGGACACTGAATAACTATGTACAATTAGCATTTAAATAGCAAATACAACATTACAACAAAAATAAATGTAAGAGAAAGAATTACATGCTGAACAGTATACTCAATTCTGTTTTTAAATAGGCTGAGATTGTCCATTGCACACATGGGAATTTCAAACACAAGAAATATCAGAAACCACAGTGCTGAATTGCACTGGAAAATATAATCAGATCACACTAATACATCAATAAATCTCTTTTTTATAACATTACTTTACAAATAAAATGTATTGGTAAAAGCAACAAGGTTTGGGGCCTGTATCACAAAGCCAGATTTTTTGCTTGACTGGATTATCGGTCAGATTTAAGGTAGTCTGGGCTAATTATAAACTAACAAAATTAAAGTCTATCTAACCTGGTATACCTTAAATCTGACAAGTCATCTAGATAAGCAAGAAATCCAGCTTCTTGATACAGGCCCCCAGAGTTACACACAGCCACAACCCAGTGTTTTTAGTAATGAGGAGGGTATGGCTGGTAAGGCATGAGTGGGGGTCCTCCAGGGGGTGGTACCAGGCAGGGTAAACCACTGAACTGGTAGAGAGAGTCAACAGGCAAAGCAGGGATGGCGCCCACTGCAGGAGATGAGGTGTAGTGCAGGCCGGATGGAGGTAGGTAAGAGGCTGTGGTTTCCTGGACAGGATAGTAGTTGGGATATGGAGACGACCTGAAAGCTTGCAGTTCGGGGTAGTGCATCAGCTGTGAAGCGACTTTCGCTTGGCAGGCTTGGGCCAGGGCATCCTGAAGGGTCCGTTTCAGCTTCATTCGCCGGTTCTGGAACCAGTTCCTTATCTAGAGTCCGGATAACAGTAAGATTAGAGGTGCAGTTAAATATGTCTGATATGTTTTACACCATGCCATTTTAACAGCATTTAACTACTCAAGATAGCACACCTTATTCTTTTAATGATTAGTTATTAGCCTTTGGGGTTGGTGGCATTATGTAGTTTTATACTATTAAGTACGTACTTAACCACAAATTAAGTCTTAGTTACATACTGATCTCATCTTGGTTCATCATTAATGATTCGTGACACATTTTATCTCAAGCAGTTATTATATTTGTTACTGTGTCTGTTAATTCTGGAAACTTTTGTGAACGACTGAAGGAGCAAGTCATCAATAACAGAAGTTAAATACATTAACGTTAAATGTTGACCTCATATTTGTTCATCATCAATGAATCATGACGCATTTAGTAACGGGGTTGTTACTAAATATTTGTGCTCCCTGAAGTAAAGTGTTACCATCATTTTCCCCATTTTTACTAGTCTGTGAAATGGCTGCATGTCAACGTCGCCTGCGAGGGCTTTTCTGCGCAGAGAGCAGACAGACCTGTTTGTCGGAGAGCCGCAGTCTCTGACACAGCTCTGCCTTGTCGTGGCTGCCAAGGTATGCGTTTTTTTTGAAAGCTTTTTCCAGGCGGTTGATCTGCTCCACGGTGAAAGCTGTACGCGGCCGGCGGCTGGCGGCGGGGGAGTCGGCCGCCGCGTTCTCAGCCACGGCCCGCGAGGGGGAGCCCCCGCCCTCGCTCTCGTACCCTGACGTCTCCTCCTCGTCTGCGCTGCTGCTGAAGCCTACCTCTGCTGTTCAGGCGGAGGGGGCACAGAGAATCAATTACAAACTTTTGTTGAGAGCGCAAAATGCCATCAGTACTGGTACTGCTGCCACAACACCGAGGACTGTTAAGCTTACATGCTGATAGGAACAGCCTTAATAACCATGTAATAACCATGTAATAACCATGTCTATACGTCCCACTTTAAATATAGCCTGAGATCAAAGCTGACACTGGTGTGAATTAGGGCAGATGGAAAGTTCCGGAAAGTTGTGGCTCTGACACCAATGGTGGTTGCAATGGCCTTTATTATTATTACTATTTTTGAAGTAAGGCCTGCAGGGTAGATATGCAGCATCTCCGTCTAACATCTCAGAAATGGGACAAGCAAAAGCGGAGATGAAAGCAGATATGAAATACTACACTCACAGAAAAAAAGGATAAAAATTTGTACCTTTGCTTGTCACTGGGGCTGCACCCTTGTAATTTTACCTTTTAAGCTACAGAAATGGACTCTGAGGAACATCCCAAAGGTACAAACAGCAATAATGTACCATAAGTGGTACAGAAATGTTCCTCAGAGTCAATTTCTGTACCTTAAAAGATACAATTACCTACAGCTAAGGGTACAACTGGAAGACCCTTGAGGGTGCAGCCCCAGGGACAAGCAAAGGAACCAATTTTTATCCTTTTTTCTGGAATGTATCTTACCAAGTTGTTCATTAGGCAGCTGCTTACCCTGGGTGTTGTGGGGTGCACTCTGGGCACTGGAGCTGGGGCCCTGGCCCTGGGCGCTGGGAGAGCCGTGTGCCGTCTGTCGGGCGTCTGCACCGGCCTCCCTCTTGCTGCAGTAGAAGCCAGGAAGGCTCTCTGGTGCGGTACTGGAGCTGCACAGGCCCGCCTGGGCGCTGGAAGGCCACGTTCCAGCCGAGGTCCTCGTAGTCTGGCTGGCTGTATCACGGCTGCTCTGGGACAACCATTCGATGGAGAAGGGGCCCTTCATGGCCTCGTTATGCTTCCCAAATCCAAAAGAATGGCAAGTAACCTGGCTCTGACAGCAACAGATTCTGCTGCAGCCTACTTTCACAGCTGCTGGAAGTGAGAGGAGTGTGCAGGTCCCAAAGAAAGTGTGCCTTGCTTTGTCCTCCTGTGCGGCTCGAGCTGGAGATGTGCCTGTGGAAATGATGTCACTCGCCTCTGGAGCTGGGCTCTGCTATTTATGAAGGGGATCCCTTCTTCATTTGTGATTCACTTGAGCAGGGATCAAAGGCAGCACCCTCCCCCTGCCACTCCCACCCCCCCAGTTTTCACAAGTGTGGTAATTAAGACGTCTCATTCGACTCTGAATGAGCCTATTAATTCCTGGCTCCAGTGAGTCTGGGCCATCTCCCACTCTTCACTCCTACCCCACCTCACTACAGTCTCTTATCTGCAG